GCAGTAGGCAATTGACTATCAGACGACCACACAACCGCAAGCCAGCGGACGCCATCCAAAGTCATATCTGCTCGACAGTCGTCACATGAGGGCTTGTGCGAGTCGGTCTGTGATTGGCTGTTACAGAGGCTGGAAACAGCGAGCGTTCCGAAAGTGCACTTCGACTTGAGCTAGTCACGAAAAGCGTTCACACCTTTCCCCCGCCGACCATTAGTAGGGATTTCCACAAAGTCACTCACCAACACGCAGCATCTCCTTCGTAGGTAGTGTATTGCTAAATGACATGTGCAGTTTGTTTCCTTTCTCTCGACAGAAGCATCAAGTGCACATTTAAGGTTTGGAATAATGTCCGGACTATCAGCTGATCGCGGGTAAGGCATACAGCATACCGTGGACTGTGTTGCACGAATGTCACCCGTGTGGGGTCTGAGATCACTTTAATTTCCCTTTATCCGAAAAATGCGGGGGGTCAGGCAACCTGTATGCATGAAATTAAATATAATCTGCATCCCTGATGCCAAAAATTTACATCCGCAGTTGACTTCTTGAACTGAAATCACCAATTTCTGTGCAGCCATTTAAAAAAAGCTTAGTTCAAATAGATAATTTCTGCTGAAAGTGTACAGAAAGTAAGTATTGTAAGTATTGTTTTTTCAAAAAGTTCTTCTTTTCCATGAGTGTTATCCGACTAATTATCAAGAGACATGATCAAATAAGTACATGTATATTCGGCAGAGCGTTCCGTTTCTCCGATTTCCTTATATTTTCGGGGTGATATAATATGCCAGTTCGACCATCGTGCACGAGTATATGCGCCGTGCGCCCCACAGCATGATGAGGACAGGAGCGGCGGCTTGCATTTGAATTAGGTTATAGTTGTGGGAAACGTGCGCCGCATCTTCCGCTTGCCTCAACTCGGTGTCAAGACAGGAAGGTCGGAGGCGGGATAGGTTGCAGTGGTTGACAAACTTAAACAGTATGTCGAGGCATGCCACGCACGCATTGTCATCGTACAGCGGACCAGGTTCTCGTTCAAACAAAAAGCGAGTTGGTTGGAGTCCAGGCTGCGTAGGAGGGACATTAAGACATTAATAAGTGGGGGGATATCGCAGCCCGACTCTCCGTCCTGGGATGGAGGGGGGAGGAGGGCAAGTTATTTCATCAGTTAGCAGCCTTCCCAGCCACGACGTTTTGTCTGTCTTCGCAGTTTCACGTGCGCTGAAGGCCGTACGTGTGCAGTCTCCAGAGCCGACTCCGCCCTCTCTTCCCTCTCCCAGGCATTGGGCCACTGGTGGTTGAGCTGGTCGGTCACCT